AAAAGTATCACAAAAGGTGAAAGTAGAAAAAGGGGAGGGCGTTTTGTAAAATGTCATTTTCCCAGGATCAGAGCTGTGATGCAATTAACCCACCACTGTGACAGACACCATCACCCAAACCGTGTGCTGGCTGGAGTTTTGGCTACTCTGCTTCTGATCCAGCTTCCTGCTATTACAACTGGGTAGACAGCAGATGATGGCCAAGTGCTTGGGCTCCTGCCACCCATGTGGGAGACCCGAATGGAGTTCCTGGCTCCTGGCTTTGGCATGGCCCAGCCCTGGCTGCTGCGGTTGTCTGGGGAGTGAACCAGCAAACTGAAGATTCTCCCTTTCTCTGCTGCTCTTTGAGATAAATAAATCCTTAAAAATGGCAATTTCTCAATTTTGCCACCCTCCACCCTCATGTTTTGAAAGGTTAATGAAAAAACAGCATTTATTAAGTAATAATTTATTTGTCTGCATCTATTATTTATCAAAGGCATATGCTACTGCTGGTGTTTCCGAGCAACTTAGAAGAACGAGGGCTGCTGTAATTCTTGCCAAAAGTAAACTGACCTTTTGGATATCCTGTGCAGCCTTATGCTATCTTTATGATCTCCATGAAGCTTTTCAAAATATTCACAGTAGCCTCCAGACTCGCACATCCCACTTTCTGCCCAAGCCAATCTCCAGACCACGGGGCTCAGCTGCCTTGGAGAAACACGTTTATGGGCTTCGCCTGGCTTTCCTCTCCTCATCAGTCATTTGCTGTATCGCCAGAGCTCAGAAAAACGTGATTTGTCAATGTGATGACAATATCAAGGCAGGGTGAAAGGCTGATTGCTAACCTGTGGCTCTGCTGTAAGCTGGACTACTGCGCAGCAGCCCAAGGGATGCCCCATTAAACCAGAAGAACTTGTAATTCTGAGAGACCCAGGTAACCAGCACTTTTACCCCCTAAGGCTGTGTGAAATCAAATAAACAGTGACCAGCTTTAGCAAGCCCAAAAGTCTGAGATACCCAAATTTCAGACAAAGTTGTGAGAAACAAACTGAAACATATCCAGAGAAATTGCTTGAAAAGTTAGTCATAAAGGAAAACCCTGCCCAAACTGAACAGTTCGATGCTATCAAATTTGACAGCCTGGCATGTTTGAATCCAAAAATACCTCAACAGTCAGATCCCAAAGGGAGCAAAATGACAGTTTTCCAGTGAAGACAGTGAAAACCTCCCTTACGCCCTGACACGGCTCTCCTCAAGAAATTATCTATCCACCTTAACAAGAGATGGCCCCAAAGTAGCGCATGAAAAATGAGGTGAGACACAATTATTGATTTCGAATATTATCTTTCCCTTTAGAAAATGGTCTTTACTAAAAACAGGAGATGCTGGTTATAGTCTGAAGGTACCCCCAAAACTCAGGTGTTGGAAACCTTTACCCCCTACACAACATGTGGGGAGGAGGGACCCGGTGGGGGCTCTTGCGAGTGGACTAATGCCACTACCAAAAGGGCCTGCGAAGTGGGCTCACTCTTCGACTTGTGCCGTGTGTGCATGCAAGGCCACAAGGCCCTCAACAGACGCTGGCACCTTGACTTTGCACAGCCCAACCCCCAGAACTCTCAGAAATACATTTCCATCATACAAGTCCCCAGCCTCAGATCCTGCACTGCAGTGGTGGGAGTGGGCTAATGCTTTGCCTCCCTTCTGCAGAGGGGCTGGTGAGGCCTCTCAGAACTACTTCCATTTCCTAGCACCTTCGCTGCTGAAACAGGGATACTATCCCTTTTAAAACTCAAACTTGTCAAAACAAACCCAAATCACCCCTCAACTGAAAACCAAGTGCCCACTGGTACTTACAAGAAATCCATTTCTTAGAAATGCGACTTCCTCACCCACGGCTCCTCTCACTTCTGGGGACTCACTATTCTGTTTTAATGTTCTACCCATCTCCTCCACGCCATATCCTAAACAAATTAAATAGACCACTTCCTATTTACACATCTGGTAAGTGTGTGTGCCTGCACTTGACATGTTCTTCCATTTTACAGCAACAGCCACTCATCTAGGCACCCAGGTTACTCATTAACATTAGAAAACGAAAAAGGGAATCAGAAACACAGAATGAAGATAATGAAAGACAAGACTGACTGCAATAGGTAAAGTCAGTTCCCATCAAGAGCAGTATACACGGGCTGTGCACTCAGGCCTATGTCTGCAGATGTGTTACAGGCAGCCTGCATGCAAGTGGCAGCAAAGACAGAGGGCAACCGTGCACAGTGCTTGTGGATACTCCACCTCTGCACCACGCTCAGCTGCCTGAGGACTTTCTGAGATTTCATTTTGAGGACTAGGAGAGAAAATCCAGATTTAATTTCCAGTTAGCCATTAACAACTTGAACTTACTTGGATTTAAGTTCTCTGGGCTTCAGTTTATCTGCTAGATCACTAAACACTCAATGCAATTTAACATCTGCCATGTGAGTGTAATGGAAAGCATAGGCTTCGCTCTAACGCCGCATCTCTGAATGCTGTGACTGTTATGGTGATGACTTTCCACTTCAGGAGTAATCGAGTTTATGAGGAATGCAATCAGACAGTTCTAAACCTGACTTCCAGATATCATCTAAACTTTGACTCAAGTCTGTCAGACCACTTGACGTGGTGCCCATCACCAAGAAATGTGCTCTGGCGGCCAATTTTATTTGAGCACTAATAAATGTAACCAGTGCCCTTCTCCTCAACTTCACGAGACAATGTTTTTATTTGTGCTGTCCCTAAGGCTTAGTAATGGCATATCAAGTTTATGTAATTACCACAAATATACTTTAAATATACACTATTATTTCAAACATTACATCTGTACAGTACTTGACTGTCTCCCAGGATTGCACATTTGTTGGCTAAGGTTTATCTCAATGTGGAGCAGAGCGAACAGGAAAAGAACAAAATCCAGGACAAATTTTATTTTCTTTCCTTCCAAAATTTAACTCTTGACTAAACAGTTTACATACTAACTATCTTAATTAGTGCTGAATTTGTCAAATTTAAAGTTAAAAGATTTAAAGATGTAGAATTGTTACCAATTACTGTTTAACTTTTTTTTAACCCCTAATGTAGTAAGTAAGAAATGAATTTTCCTTAAAACTACATAGGGGCCGGCGCCGTAGCTCACTAGGCTAATCCTCCGCTTTGCGGCGCCGGCACACCGGGTTCTAGTCCCGGTCGGGGCGCCAGATTCTGTCCAGGTTGCCCCTCTTCCAGGCCAGCTCTCTGCTGTGGCCAGGGAGTGCAGTGGAGGATGGCCCAAGTGCTTGGGCCCTGCACCCCATGGGAGACCAGGAGAAATACCTGGCTCCTGCCATCGGATCAGCACGGTGCGCCGGCCGCAGCGTGCTGGCCACGGCGGCCATTGGAGGGTAAACCAACGGCAAAGGAAGACCTTTCTCTCTGTCTCTCTCTCTCACTGTCCACTCTGCCTATCAAAAAAAAAAAAAAAAAAAAAAACTACATAGGGATTTTTTTGGCATAAATTACACTACAGATGATATCAAAAGTCTCGGGGCTGGTGCTGTAGTGCACCAGGTAAAGCTGCCGCCTACAGTGCCTGCATCCCATACGGGCAATGGTTCAAGTCCCAGCTGCTCCACTTCTGATCCAGCTCTCTGCTGTGGCCTGGGAAAGCAACAGAAGATGGCCCAAGTCCTTGAGCCCCTGCACCCACGTGGGAGACTGGAAGGAAGCTCCCGGCTCCCAGCTTCGGACTGATGCAGCTCTGGCAGTTGCGGCCAATTGAGGAGTGAACCAGCAGGTGGAAGACCTCTCTCTCTGCCTCTCCTCTCCCTGTATAACTCTGACTTACAAATAAATAAATAAATCTTTTAAAAAACAAACAAACAAAACTGGGCAGACAGCACCTATCTCTGTTGAAGCACAGACACTGATAACTCAGTGCTAGGTCACGTTTATAATTAAAAAAAAAAAAAAAAGTCCTTAAGCCTTTAAACAAAATTTAAGCCTCAAACATCTGTAATAAATAAATGGCAACAGGGGATCTGAATACACTGGCAGCCCAGTGTATTTAGAGACTCCAACCCTGTCGTCCCATCTTACCTGTGTTCTAATGTTTTGTGGATTTCAACCCACTGGTCCAGAACATTTGAAACTAAGGGACGAAAAGATTTGAATACTAAAAAGTATACATAACCACAGTGCATAAAGTCAGGAAGAACTTTAACCATGAGTCAATTTTCACTTCATGATGGCTGACAATCAGATCTTTTGATTATGAGAATTGTTAGAGGCCTATGAACAAAAGAAAATATTTGTAGGATCATGTTATCAAAAACAAAATCAGACCAAATTTTAAAACTAGAATGTTACCTGCTGACAAATGAACAGCAAACTGGGAGACCTCAAACCGAAAGTGCCTGAGAAACCCTGCTCAGAGCAATCAGTCTCCTTTACACAGGAGAAAGGCGTGCTTTGCCCTCTCTTCTTATTGGCCTTTACATAAACTAATATTAATATTCGTTTTAAGTTGACCTGTCTATGGCTACTTGGTTTAATACCACTGAATCATGCAGACAAGGACATAAAGCTGACATCTTGTTGGTGATCAGCGTATTTAGGGAAATCAGGACACCTAGTTTTGGCCACACAGCTCTGGATGGTGGCCCTGGGTGGGTGAATCTAAACTGCGCCCTCCGTATTTATTTTTCTTCAGTAGAATTTATTCAATAGAGTTCCCACAACCAGAACAGTAATTCTGGATTTTTCATATGAAATCAACTTTGTTTTTTAAATGCTTATCCTGCTGCAGAGGGAGTTTATATGCAATATACATGTTGAACTCAGTACAAGAAATCTGTAGTTTTTATTAGCTTCAGCAATGACTTTGAAATGGTTACCTGAATAGAGATCAAAATATAGAATCTCTACTACTGTACTATCTTCTCACCAGACAATCCCACTGCTCAAAAATGCCAACAAAAAATAGTCAATTATATCCACATACAAAGTCAGTTTCTGAAATTTTATTCTTTTTAATACATACATTTACACAAACAGAAACCCTCCATTGCCACACACAATTCCCCATAACCAAAGGTTTCAATTTTATCAACATTCTTCAACTATTTACACTGTCTCCCCTCACTGAAAGTGCAATCCAAGACATCTTGACAAGAAATCTGACAACAATATACTTTCAAATTGGCTTTCATGATGCTCATTTGTTCTATTTTCTTTGCTACCTGGGACTGAAATAAAGTTGACAGGACATGGAGATGACTGAATTAGGCAGCATCCTACTACAGGAACCAAAACACTAAACAAGAGCATTTTCTCCTCGTTTCCTCCCCAGTCTCCAACTACAATAACTCAAGTCCTGCTACCAGGAGACTGAACAGAAAAACAAAGTGGAATTACCAACCTGGGTATGGGAGACCAGACTAGTTGGTAAGCACTGGTCTTGCAGAACTAAATAAAAGATATCAGATGACAGTTTTGATGATCTGATTAAGTTACATATCAGTCTATAAATTTTAGAGTGTAAACATCTAATAGTATTCTTAATGAGTTAATTTTTCCCAAACTGATATACAAATACTTTTTACTCAGAAAAATGAACTTCTTTTACAAAAACTAGAAGTTAAAGAGTGTTTGAGGAAAGCTCCTTTGTAATTAGAATGGGGAAATTCACCAACTCCTCAATTTCATGGCACAATATCCATCTTTTAAGGGACAAACCCAGTGTTTCAGCTGTTTCAAATACAGCCAGAAGAAAGTGGAGAACTGAGGTGGCTTGAAAACGACCAATCAAAAATTGTCTTCTCACTAAACTAAAGCAATTTTATTTGTTCAAGGCACAGAACTCTTAAAAATAAATGATAAAAAAACAAAGTTAGAGTAGACGAAAAATCACTTAGTTGCTCTCTGATTGCTTCATGTTATTGAGTGCTGGTCATCAGAAATCCAGAAACTGGTCTCTTGGGTGGCTGATATCCTTCAGTATCCTAACCACAGCCACAGGAAGAATCCCCTGGACACGTTCCAATTCTGATCAAGCGCCACAGGAATTACAGTCAGCCGATTTCTAAAATAAGATTTACCTTTACAGTGCTGCATACTTAATCATATTTATTCTCAAATCATCCAGATTTTCTCTTTGATAATGCCTTACAGGCAAACAATATTCTCAGGTATGATACTCAGATCTCTTTTACAAGTGCCTTGTACATCCATAGAATCCTAGCTTTAACATCAAATTAATTTAACATCAAATTAATTTTACCCAATTATAATGAGACCTTATCATACTTATTTTTCAGGGGCAGAAAACAATCTAAGGAGACAATATGGAATGCAGCACACACCAGGCCCACAGTGGTTTTGCTGAAATGCAATGTATAGGTCAACTTGAAGCTTCAGAACAATATAAGCAGGTTTCACTGCAAAAATTTAAGTAGGTTAGAGAACAGCACTACAAATGTTTTTGTTATTTTAAACTCAGAAATAAAAGCCAAATGGTATTCTGAAGATAAGAATAACTTACCAAATTTTATACTTGGGTAGGTAAGAGAATTAATTAATCCAACAATTAATTTACAATTGCAAATTTGTAGATGAAAGACAAATTTGCAAGGGTTATATACTCCAGTGACTTCTGGTAGCTGCATCAGACACTGTCAGATCAATGGTGATTTTCAGCTTCTCCTGGGCATTTTGAGCATTTCCCCCACTGCAAACTATTTTTCAGATTGACAAACACCAAACCAGATGCAGCAAACCAAATAACAACCATCCAAACTGAAAGATGAAGAATATTATCTGACGAACCGGTAGTTCAGTACCATGCTGTTTCGAACAAAATATTAAACATTTTGTGTAGGAGAACTGAAACTCACTTGCAGTAATGCTTAATCACTTCTCAAAAGAAAAACCACAATGAGAAAAAAAAAATGGCAGGAACCAAATGAGAAATATAAAAGGTTCACATCTATTCTAAATTTCATCCATAAAATGATTATTCTCAGAATTCTTTTAACACATATAAAGGTACTTCAAAAAGTTCACAGGAAATGGAATTAAATGTTTATTTTGGTACAAAGAAATTTTGAATTCCAAACATAAATTTTCCTAACATGTACTTCCACAAACTTTTGGAAGACCCTTGTACATATCATACTTGAAATTAGCAAATTCATTTTTGAGGAATCCTATTCCAATCCTATAAGGGTGTGGGGTACCAGTCTATTTCAATCACCAAGATCTCATGAACAGAAGCTGAATTTTAATTCATGCTCTGACTAATCAGATTCTACATAGGATCATCTTTGTAGCAACATCTGTAAAGTGTCATAGGGACCATTAGAATGCTCTGGTTTTTAAATATAGTGTTACACATTACAATCAGTGATTTTCCAAAATGAAATACACTTTTAAAAGAAGTACTGAAATTATTATCCCCTTTGGCATTTTCTCAAACAATTTTCTTCCTTTCCCTTCTAAGGTTAAACGTTGGCCCTTGGAAACTCAGTGTAAGTCAGGGTTAAATGTGGCCATGGGCAATTTGGAGGAAGAGCAGGGCAGCAGTGACTGTGTCTGTGCGGTTGTGAGATTCACCTATGAGAAGGCTCTGCCCCCCAATGGCACTCCAACAGAACAAACTGTAAATCACCACCACCCACATCATACTATTCATGGGTTCTCCTTAAAAGCTCTGTGACCAACTTCAAACACATAATTCAACCGACCGATTTCTATTTTTGTGCCCCCTTGAATCAGTGTGCCTCATTTGCAAATTCACTTCAAGTGCGTTCTGTTATAGGTCAGCTTACTCAACAACACTTGCAATACCAATAGCTTTCATGTGTCTTACAATTTGGATATTGCTTTCAGTACAGAAAATCTAATTTACAGCAGTGGAAGAGAGTGCTCGAGTGTCCACTTTGGAACCCTCTGTGGGTGGCAGTAAACTGCACCCAAGGACAGCTGCAGGACGCCCCAAGACATGCTATCACACCACAAGCTCTCTGGCATGGACTGACACTCACCTGTCACATACCGACTGCTCCCAAGACCCTGGGAAGACTTAGCAGTGGATCTTAGGAAAGTTAGCATTTTAATAATAGTTCCCTCCCCACCCCCACCACGCTTTTAGTTTAGTCACATAATCCCTTACCTAACTCTTTCCCATCTTCCCCGTCACCATAAAGCTGCATCAGAGACTCAGTGAGTGAATCCCCACCCGAACTCATAGGCTCGCCCACCTGTGCGCCGTTCACAAACACACAATAGCACTTGGAATCAAGACAGGGCAAGTGGCAGCCCCAATTTCAGGGACACACATACACAACGTTAACTCTCCCTCAAATTAGAAAAAAAACTGATGTCACAGAATGGCGCCCTAGAAAAGATATGTAATAAAGTAATAAATCAATAAAATAGCTACTACTAAAGCAAAGCTTTCATCAATAAGCTTCAAGGACTTTGAAAGAGGAAAATGGCTTCACGAAATGGTAGTCCAGGTTCCCACAGTGTGGACACTGCTGGACGTTGCTGTACTCCGAGAAGTACTGCATCCCGATCCGCACGTCGATCACGGGCTTCCCACAGTGCTTGCAGTTCAGGCGGGCCTGCGGGAAACAGAGGCACAAAGTCAGCCAAGTGAAAATGCTGGGAAAGTGATCAAGGGTTTGGTAAAGGATTCTTCTATTACCAAAAACTAGATGTGCAAAGCATAAGACATGTTCTAACATTCATCCTCAATCTGCAAGATTAATGACTGTTTCTCTCTTGACATGTAGCGCTGCTAATCCTCTCACCTACTAGCAAAAAGAAAATCCTAAACTAGTAGTCCTAAACCTCTCCACTACAGATCCCTTAACAACAAGAACCTCCTATTTCCTGGATTTAAAAAAAAAAATTATTATTTTTTTTTCATTTCCTCAAACAGCAGAGCAAGAGAGTGAGTGAGAGAACAGACAGGTATCTCCCATCCATGTGGGACACTCCAGTATGGGATGTGAGTGCCCCAAGTGGTGGCTTAACCTGCTGTGCCACCATGCTCGCCTTCGCCCTCGCCCCCTGGCTTTTCAGAGAGTGGCTAAAACTGACTTATCACTCTGCAACTGGCATGGAACTTCTTTGAAGATTCTGGGTTTATTTCAAAAATTGATATACACCCTTCAGTCTACTCAACACATTTGTGGTTTCTTTGATGTAAAGATAAATTTTTTTCTGAAATACTCAAGTAAAATTGGCATCCCAGGAATAGTGGTGTGATTATCCTGAGGCTTCTGGAACCCACCAGCACACCCGATGCATCTGTGCCGGGGCCTTGCTGACACAATCCTGGAGCCTTTCAGCAGGGGTCCAAGACTTCAGTGAACAACCAGAAAGAAAGCATAAATAAACAGCCTCTCATTCTGGACTCATTCTAAAATGTAATTTAAAAGTATAATCTCAAACCCTCCTATAAGGCAAGCAGTAGCCTGTGAATTTCAGATGATGAAATTGAGGTACGCTGGGATCAAGTACTATGTCCAGGATCGCAGGAGTGGACAGCAGAAAAGCTGGGACTGGAACCAAAGCAGCTGCCCTCCAGTAACCTTAGATTACCTTCCCTTTCCTTACTTCATCACTCGGAACATGAAACGTGAAAGTCCAAGCAAACCTCTGTAACCCGTCACTGTAACCAGTAACTAGTTACTGCTTATTTCTGGGTCAGTCGTATTGGAAGACTTATGCTGGTTCCTTAGCAAAGTCCAACCCTTGTATCCTCACAGTGAACACTGTCAACTGACAAAAAAAAAAAAAAAAAAAAAAAAGAAATCAAAAAACAAAAAGCGAAAACCCCAGTAGTCAAACATGTTTTCCATTTCAAAAAATAAAAGTCTGGCCTTATCCTTTTAAAGGACAAAATGAGCACAGTTAGTACCAGCTAGCTGGATGTGGCCGGGTGCCCTTCCGCTTTTCTCCCTGAAGATACAGAAATAATCCCACTATCATTCAGTGGCATACTAAAAGGAACACCAGAATGGGAATTACAGGTTGTGTTCACAGCTATGACACAATTTGTACTCAACTGGATAAATCATTCAAATTTCCGAGGCCTCCTTTGCAGTATGCAAATTCTGTGAGTGAATAGGCCCAAATATTATTTTCTTTCTTATTTCTTCAAGTTAACCAGATAACTCTGTGGTGTGCAAAAAAGGAGCTACTTCCTTCAATTTCTCGAGGTCTCAAGAGCTGATATTAAGGCACAATAACTGTCATAAAATGCCACAGGGAGTAACTAAAGGAGTGTAGTATCTCATTTCCAAGATAGGCTTAAACAATGGGAAGTGCAGTTGATGCATTAGAATAGCATAAAGTTGATCAAGCCTCTCCAAAAGCAAAGGACAGGCTCTGGAGAGTCATTTAAATCTCTCAACAAAACTGCTCTTCTGAGCAATACTGGTATTGACCAAAAAAAGCTGAAATACTGACTATGGCAACATTTCCATTCAACAGACATGGCCACCTTCTGAATAAGCTAATAATACAGGGAATAATCTCTTTGAAAAAAATCAAACCATAAATACTAAAGAAGAAAGACATGTAATAATAATAAAGTACATATCAGGGGCCGGTGCTGTGGCGTAGTGTAAAGCCATCTCCTGCAGTGCCGGCATCCCATATAGGCGCCAGTTTCAGTCCCGGTTGCTCCTCTTCTGATTCAGTTCTCTGCTACAGCCTGAGAAAGCAGTAGAAGATGGCCCAAGTCTTTGGGCCCCTGAACCCACATGGGAGACCCAGAAGAAGCTGCTGGCTCCTGGCTTTGGATTGGCCCAGTTCTGGCTGTTGCAGCCAACTGGGGAATGAACCAGTAGATGGAAGACCTCTCTCTCTCACTCTGCCTCTCCTTCTCTCTCTGTGTAACTCTGATTTCCAAGTAAATAAATAAATCTTTAAAAAAATAAAAATAAAGTATATATCAGTTATTTGTATTAAAAATCAGACTCAGACACTATAGAGCAAATGAAAACTTCTTCTTTACCCACAAGGATCAAAGAAATAAATTCTTTTTTTCCCTAAGCACTTGAAAATGAACCAACATATTTCCACGACTTTGTCCCTCCCATGTTCCATGGATTACGTAACATGTCTTCCTATGTGAATGCTCCCTTTTTCCCTGACAGCTAAATCTCAGATGTTCTCTTAGCTTCTAAGCAGTGCTTTAAAAACTACACATCTTTCATGCCAACTTCAAGCATCTTACAAGGCAGGCACGTCCTGGGTAACTGCACTATCCCACAGAAAGGAAGCCATAGGGAATTCCTACCTCTTAAAGGAAGTGAAAGCTTTTTATCAGAAATTCAGTACAAGCTAATTATAGGAAAGACTAAGTGAGAAAAAGAAAACTAAAGAAACCACTCAGCACGCCACTACCCAGACCATAATGTAATCACCTGGTAAGAGGTAAGCAGATCCCTTTTCATGCTTACTTATCTAAAAACAGAACCAGAGTATTATACAATTTTATAACCCGCTTTTCTGACTTCACAGGGGACTTCAAAAAGTTCACAAAAAATGTGCATTATGAAAAATCTATGCATGGACTTCAAAATTTTTTGAACTAAAATAAATTGCTTTCTGTTCCATTTTCCATAAACTCCTTGAGGTACCCTCATATATGAGAACTACTTCCCATATAATTATGTATTTGTTCTATGATATCCCTTTTAATGACTGACTGGTATTCCACCAAATGGCCACATTACAATGTAGTATAAATCAGCGGCCAGTGCTGGACTCTAAGGGAGCATCACAACTGCATTTCTTCTTTTGGAAGCATCTTCTCCGAGCCCAAGGGAAGCCTCTAACTCCACTAAGTTCACCTGAAGACAGAAGGCTACTATCACCCGCTGCTCCTGCAGAGGATCGATACCAACCTGACAGCAGGGAGAGGCCGCCAGGATGTCGTAGGTGTACATGGTGCCCAGCTGGTGCCAGCTGCCGTCCCACCGCGACTTACACTTGATGCAGATGATCTTGTGAACTCCTTCCAGGCAGTCCACACACACTGCATACAGGTGCATGAGTCTCCCTGTGCACAGAACACAAATGGCTGAGAGTGGCCATCACAGAATCACGGTCTGTCTCCAGAGGAGATTTTTTTTAAGCCTCATCTACCAATTATAAGCAAATATTTTATCATTTATATAAATATACAAAGCTGATGATGCTTCTTGTACATTCCAAAGCAGTCCTTTTAGATTAAAGATGAATCACACTACTGGCAACAAGATGTGTAGGTGCAAGCTTGCTTCAATTCACTTTTCCAAAAATTGCTGCTGGATTTACATAGCGTGTCCATCCAAATTTAAATAAAGCCCCACAAGCTCAAAACCAGGACTTCCTGCTCAGAAGCCTCTGTGTAACATACAGAGAGAGTGGCCAATAACACTGATATTATCACAGGTACCCTCCCACTGACAAGTCCCATCCGGAAAGAGTAAAACGTCTGTCTTAGCATTGATAGCCCAGAATTACACCACAGCCAAAATTACTATGATAACTGTCCTTGTCTCCAAAATTGTTCTGCTATCACCACATCTAATTTAGGAAACAGAATTACATCATACAACTTGGTTTGCTAGAAGGGAATTAACATTTTATTATTTCTTGGGCTTTACTAAGTCATCACCTCATCCCTATATTATTTATTAGCACCTTAATGCTAATAAGGCACATTGATGGCCAAAGATGTTATAACCTTGGGGGCCTCTGCCAAAAACGGGAGGGCGAAGAGAGTTTCTTGCAGGATTGGCTACCTCTGCTCCAAGACACTGACAATGAAAAGGTCTCACATACCAAGCCCACCACTGGAAAACACTTTGCTTCCAGGCTCCCTCCTAGGCCCACTCACTGCAGTTCTCAAACACTCAAAGGTACACAGGCTGCTTGGCAGGGGGAGGGAAGGAAGACAAAGAAGTCAGATGACCAAGAAAACGACCACGATGATACGGATCACATGCGACGTCAGCTACCGGGCACTGCCCGAGGATCTGCGCTGTGCTGCAAGCTCTGTGTGCTACCATTTATTTAACCCTCACAGCAATGCTATGAAGTATGGCAAAGACCGCAGGTAGCTGGCAAAGACAGCAAGTAGCCAAATCCAGACTCAAATTTAGGTCTGTCTGACACTTACCCTACAGGCAAGCTTGTGGGAGTGCTTTGCCTAAACTGAGTCCTGGGATTTGTTTTCTGTTGCCATTAAACATGTCCTAACTCCTGAGAATTTCAAATGTCTAAACCCTAGCATAGGCTTTGCTTAGTGAATACAAACAAGAAGCAGATTCCTGAGAAATCAACTGCCTGTGGTTCAAAGTGGTAAAGGAGCCCAGTAAGAACTTCCTAATTAAACCAGTTTTAATAAATTATTAAAATCAAACAAAGCGCTTTCTCATGAGAGAAAGCATCTGATTGCCAGGGCTGCAGTGGAATCAGGGGAGAGCAGGGAGGGGAGGGAGAAGGCCAGGGAATAATCCACCGGGTCCACCACTGAGGGTCAGTCTTTGAGCAGGCACGTCATCAACTGAAAACTGTGGCAACCTATGGCCCAGAAACTCTGCTGGCCCTCTGCGACGCAAGAAACGATTTTCTCAAGCATGCCGTAGGGAAGATCGCCCCGTCTTCTCCAATGTGCAGCAATAAAACACTGGCACATGATGAAGGCTCCCTTGTGGCCGACACTAATCCTGATCACACACCTCGATCTACAGATTTTATAATCGACGGTTCAGCTTCTCCGTGCCTTTGTAGGGCACACCCAACACACCCATCAGCTACTTTTGTTTACATATTTACACAACACACACACACACACTGTACTAAGGCCTAATTGTCACCAATTCCACTTCTGGAATGTCCTCAAGATTCAGCCCTGTGCTCTGTCGGAACCCTTTTCTTTTATTTCCACATGCAAGGCTCTGAACCTTTACCTTTTATCCACCACGGTTACAAAAGAAGCTTCCCAGAGGCCATCCCAACTGCTTCTTTCTAAAACGCAGTGCTTGTTAGACACCGACAAACGCCCTCATCTTCTTCCCCCTAACATCAGGTCCTTTCCCCAACCTTCTCAGCCCCTCTGGCCTAGAGCCAGTCAGCACTCTGTATCCTTATGGTCAAGGTGTCCCCAGAGCTCTAATTTTCCTCAGGATCACTTCTTGCAGAGATCCACTCCTTTCAACGCCCACTCATTCACACACCCAGCAGCCTCTCACCTTTCATCTTGCGAGACAAAGTTTCAGCTCTGTCTCTAGAACCTACCCCTTTCAAATAACTGGCCCCCTTTATGACTGTAGGCTTTTTACAACCTTGAAAGCCCAGCAGTTCAGATTCATAAAAAACACGGCCAAGCTCTCGAAGGACGCCACACTCTGTTCCCCACCTGTCCTACTCACTTCTACTCTGGAACAGCCCAGCTCCAACCAACTGGTACTCTTTTTATCTCTTGATCACAACCTCTTCTTTTTCCTTTTTTAACCACATTACTTGCTCTCCTTATCCACAAACAGCTGACACAGCCAGCCCCTCAGCTTATCAAAATCCAGCCCCCTTTTGGACTTCTGCTTTCATGCTGCCTATTTTGACCAACCAGGCCAAGGTGGTCCCTTCTTCCATGAAAATTGTAGGACACTTCATGTACACAATATTCAGTACTGCTAGTTTCATATATGGAACTACAGCCTTAGAGTCTAGGGAAGAAAGTTCCATTTTATAAAAGCATCTTCTATAATATCATACATCCATGATAAGGACTACAAGTACCCAGCACATGTGTGAAATCCTTAAGTTTGATCGATCGAGAAATGGGTTACATCAGAACAATCTGTCCATTGTGAATAGAAAAATAATGCTGCTAGGTGCTAGAATTGTGGTGCAGCAGGTTAAGCCGCTGACTGCAAGGCCAGTATCCCATATGGGGCACCAGTTCAAGTCTTGGCTGTTCCACTTCCAATCCAGCTCCCTGATAATGGCCTGGGAAAGCCTCAGAGGATGGCTCAAGTGCTTGGGTCCCTGCACTCACGTGGGAGATCTGGAAGAAGTTCCTGGCTCCTGGCTTTGACCTGGCCCAGGCCCAGCCATTGAGGCCATCTGGGAAGTGAACCAGTGGATGGAAGACTTCTCTCTCTCTCTGTCTCTCATCTCTCTCTGTAATTGCACCTTTCCAATAAACAAAATAATTCTTAAAAAAAAAATAGTACTCTTTTGTGCCCTATACTCATGTACCCACTTGCATCTTCATAAAGAAATGCTCAAGTGTTTCCACCCACTTCCTCTAAAAAAACCACAACAGGATAAAGAGCAAAACACAAAAACACAAACTCCATCTTCGATGAAACAATAAGGCACCTACAACCTGAACCAAAAATACATGAGGTCAGAAAGTGAATGGAGGAATAGCAAATGGTGTAGCTCTGGAACTGGACAACAGTAAATTACAGACCAGCACAGAGGCCATACAACTCCTGCCATCAAGAAGCAAAACATCCTCTGAACCCAGGCTGGCTGAACAACGTAGTCAATAACAAAATGTGACGGAAATGATGTGACTCAAGTCCCAGATGCAAGCCTCCAGAGCGAGACCCTGGAACTTCCACTCTCACCCTTGTGAATGCTGTCCTGAAACTGCTGTGTAGGAAAGCACAAGCCAGCCTCTGGAAGGTGAAGGACTCCATGGGACATGGACCAACCATTCCAGCTGAGTCCCCCACAGCCAAACGGTCTGCCGACCACCAGGCATGTGAGGCAGCTTGTCCTAGCCAACCAACCCACGAACTACAGCAAGTTCTCAAATCATCACTGTTCTAAACCACAACACCGTGGAGGGCTCTGCTTTACATCAAAGGCAAAACTGTCAAAACAAATGAGACTTCAGCTCTCTCTCCCTGCTCAGAAAGATAGAATAAGAAATTATACATCCATGAAATTACATCCATGAAACAAGAATGTGGACATTAAAAATATGAGAAGAGAATATTTTAAACTCAGTAAAAATGCAGATATATATATATAAATGCAGATATATATATTATATATATTTATATATATATAAAATCAACTCAACGAAATCTTCCAGAAAGCAGAAGATAAACAGATGAACAGCAGAACCAAGCATATTTTTATATAATAAAGAATTCTTCTATTCCCCCCTACAACCAACATACACAAAAAAGCAGTAACCTAAGCAGTCTAATACCTGATTAACAGAAGTCCCACTGAGCTTTTGTTTAAAAATTATCAAGGAACACAAAAGAAAATTTCTCTAAACGTTAAGACTCAAAGTTTATAAAATCAAAAGGCCAAGAGAATACACTGCACAATGAATGCAGATGGAGCAAGGGAGAAGGACTCAATCTTGGTGGGATTTCAGAGTACCAGGGATATAATATTATACTTCTCAACAGGAACATGTTAAGACAGCAGGCAGTAAAGACATAGAGGAAATACTTCTAATTTAGAAGCCTAAACCCAGCTCAGCAAGTGTAAAGATAGAATCAATCTATTTTAAGACTTTCAGAGTCTCAAATCATCTATCCCCATGCTCCTTATCTCAGAAAGCTCCTAGGAGATGTCTCCTAACAAACTGAGGGAATAAACCAAGAAAAAAGAACATACCACATCTAAGAAATGGTATTTTAAAACAGAAAAAAAAAATGTTTTCCTAGAAGGACAGTTACGAGAGTAATTTAAAAAGTTCATGGGCGGGGGGGGGGGGGGGGCTGGTGCTGTGGCACAGTAGGTTAAGCCTCTGCCTGTGGCACCAGCATCCCATATGGATGCTGTTTCTAGTCTTGGCTGCTCCTCTTCTGATCCAGCTCTCTGCTGTGGCCTGGGAAAGAAGCAGCAGATGGCCCAAGTGCTTGGGCTCCTGCAACCATCAGGGAGACCCGGAAGAAGCTCCTGGCTTTGGATCAGCCCAGCTCCAGCCACTGCAGCCGTTTAAGGAGAGAACCAGCAGATGGAAGATCTCTTTCTGTCTCTCCCTCTCTCTGAAACTGTTTTACAAATAAATAAATAAATTTTTAAAAAATTCATGGAAAATGAAATTAGAAATATGAGTATAAAACATTTTTTCACTATGTAGAAAAGGCATAGTACAAGGACATTATGTATGAATTTCAAAAAACTTTTTGTACCAAAATAAACTCATATTTTTAATTACATTTCCCACAAATATTTTTGAAGTGGCCTCATATCCAATATGGAAGGTCCTTAGTGTAACAGGACCAAAAGAAGCAGCTGAATGAAAGGCACCATGAAGAATATTTTTAGAAAAATAATTTTTAAAAAATCTGGCAGAAATGTGGAAATGGTTATCTTTATTATTTACAATTTATTTACTTGAGAGAGAGAGAAAGAGAGAGAGAGACTTGAGTCATCATTGCTTCCTCTAGCATCTGCACTTACAGGAAGCTGGATGTAAGAACCAGACCTTGGTAATGCACCCAGGTAGTTCCATACGAGACACTGGCACCCTAACCTGCATCATAACCATTAGGCCAGACACTCACTCCTGTGGAAATGTTTTAGAAAGTTGGTTTGCAAAGTGGCTGGAACTTGTCTTGATTGTGGAGGAACACTTTTTTCTCATACTATTTGTTGAACTCTTTATTTAGTATAGAATTAATCTTATGTGTATAAAGCTAACTGAAAATAGATCTTAGAAAAAAATAAGAATGGGAATAGGAAAGGGAGGAGGAAGAAGAGTGGGAGTGCGAGTGGAAAGAATCACTGTGTTTCTAAAGTTGTATTTATGAAATGCATGAAGTCTGTATACCTTAAATAAAAGGTTTCTGGGGAAAATAAACAAACAAAGTTGCTGGAGAGTGAGAAAAACTAGTCAAAATTTTTTTAAAAAAACACAAAGGAAACAAAGCAATACTCTTTAACAAAAACAAAAGGTGTCCTAGAATATACTGCATTCTGTAACTGGAATCACTTGCCTCAACACTAAATATTTATAAACAACAGTAGAAACATTGAGGATTTAATCAGGAATTGGGATATAGTATCCTGAGAAAAAGGAAAAGAGCATACCTAGTCATCCCCTTGGAAGTCAACAGATAACAGCTCAAACTGGAGAATGAAGAAGCAATCTTTAAAACTAGGACATTAAAAACTTGAAGAATCAGTTAAGATCTCAAAGTGTCTATCTCTGGGGACTGAGACAGCAGGAGCCATTGGGCAGAAGGCAGGTGGGGCTGTATCGTTTTCACTGCAGGCTTTTAAAGCTGCACCCATGTTGCATGTCATGCGTCTCCCCTTTATGGGCACATTCAGCAGTTTCACACCAACGGACAGATTTTCTCCTCGCACTCACCAGCCCTATGGTTCATTCGTGGTTGAGATGGACCCACATCCTGGTGTGTCATCCACAGGAGTGAGCTTTCCTCATCACCCCTCCCCGCCACAGCCAGGTCTCAGGTGTTCAATTCTCCTCTAGGTTCCTTTTGCTGCTGTCGAGACAGCCTTATCTTCTGTCACTTCAAAATTAACTTAATCTAAAACTGCCTTGGCCTTTTCTGACCCCTACCCTCCCTCAAAGTTATATTTACCAGGATTAAGGGAAATACACAGCTTGCTCTGCACATTAGAACAGGCTTCAAAGACAGCTATTTCACAGCAAATGACAATTACACAATTCCCTAAGCTTCCTCCCACTTATGAAAAACTAATTCTTTCTTCAAATCAGACAGAAAGAACACAGAAAATTACCCAACAAGAAAAGTCTGCTTGGTACAGTGACATCAGAGTAAAACTACCACCACTGCCTCCCGGGTGAAGCGGAAATATTCAAACGTCACCTACCACCTGACTAGAACAAAAAAACATCACCAGTTCAAACGAAGACTGAACAGCATTTCTGCCTTGTTTGCTTTTTGAATTTTAACCAACAGAAAGCAGGCAAGGTGAATGAACACCTATACCTTGAAGGTGACAAGGAACATCGTATTCTATCTCATCATGTCTCGAGGGGCTTAGGAACAGAGTCCCATCCACCAGTGGGAACTGTTCGAACACCGGGAGTGCCCGGTGGCACAGGGCACAGTTGACGACATTTCTGTGGCTGGCACTGAGGGCCGCGAGAATGAACTTCCGCAGATCCTCGCCCTGGCCTACTTGGGCATCGTCTTCCATCCGCACGTGGAAAGTGTTCAGCTTGTGCCGGGGGATGTGAGCGAGGAGCTCAGAGAGGTCCAGCCGCCGCAGGAACTGCACAGGCGTGTCGAAGTGGCCCCCTCTGTGAATCGCCAACCCAGCCGGACTGTAGTCAAAGTGTGTGTTTCTGAACACGTGTCCCCCTGCCATGGCCTTTTTGTGAGGCTCGAGATGGATGGCATTCTTTAAGAACTCCCCAAGGTATCTCGAGGAGCGGGGGCCGCTGAAGTGGGCGGGAGAGAGGATGGAATAGCCTGTGGGTGGTGACTGACCAGGGGAGCCACAAGGGGAGCGGGCACCGTAGGCCGTGGCACCCATGGCTTTCTCCTGGGAGTTCTGCCGGTCCATGGAATGCCGCCGGGGGAGGTCGTGGTTCAGGCCTTTCTGAGGCTTGTTTGGGGGCCTGCACTTTTTAGCCTCATCCCCAGCCTCCCCTGGTGGCCTCCCTGTGTTCTTCTCTGAGCCAGACTTCTTCTTCTTCTCCTCTTGCATCCTCTTCACCTGGTACCAGTCTGTGTCCTTCTTTAAGTGGCCTTGGCCACAGCGGCAGGAGCAGAAGCGGAAGGCCAGGTCATAGCCTTTCTTGGTCCACATGTTCTGGCGGCACTGCTTCTCGTTCCAGCTGCGGGCCCGGCCGATGCAGTTGAACTGCACCAGGATGCTGCTCTCCCACTCGTAGAAGCACTGCAGGTGCATCCAGGTGCTGCATGGGCAGTGCTCGCTGTTGCACACCACCTTCTGATAATCATCCTTCTCCAGGTCCACCGGCCTCCCAAAGCTGCAGATCAGGGGCGTGGCACAAGGAGCCTCTGGAGGAGGAACAGAAACGGAGATTTAATGTACACATTCAAGGGCAAAGCTGTGGATCCACGGGCTCGCTCATGCCTGGGCAACATTTCCACCACTGGAATAAATATCAGAGCCGATCAGAAAACATGTACCATTTTCTTCTGACACAATGCTGTGCCAAGGGAATTTATTTCCTGGTATTTTTTGCCTGCTGAAAAACACACCAATGAGCTTCCAAAAACTACACATCCTTCACAGTACAATTAGCTTTTTCAACACTTGAGACAGTGTGGTATGAGGTTTCCTAACACAAAGGGATAGCAACAGGCCATTCCCAGGTTCCCTTAAACACAAATCACTCCAGTGAAGCAAGGAACCACGTGAAGAAGTTACTTCAACAGGTTCTGGTGGATCTCCCAGAGGGTCCTTGAGGCCCTCAGTCATGGGCTGCAGGCTGGGCTGAATCCCAGACAGAAGCCAGCAAACAGACAAGACTCCTCCTCAATTCTCTTCTGAAATGGTCAGATACCTAACGGCAGGGACATCTGGTCAAACTCATCACTGGTCTACACAAAATCCCACTGCCAGGCTGTGAAGGCAAAAAGCCCAGAATTCTCCCAAGGCTATCAGGACAGAAAGCAGGAACAAGGAGCAAATATTTCCACCCTGTCTTACGCACATGTCCCCCCTACAGAATCCCAAAAGCCAGGAAAGTTCTCAGAAAGGAAGGAAAATTCAGTGGCACAAAGCAGAATCCATTTCTTGGGAAGTAAACGTGACTTAGAGAAAGGTCAGAACTCTGTTGATTCCTGCAATTGCTCAACGAAATCTGAGCATCTAAGCTAGAACTTAATTGTTTTAAATGTCAAAAAGACATGCGATAGAGACTTAAGAAGATCAGCAGTTGCCTGGGGTACAGTGGGATGAACAGGTGGAGCACACAAGATTTCTAGGGCAGTGAAACTATTCTATGTGACTCTGTGGCGTGGATGCATGTCACTGATTATTCCTTAGTCAAAATCCATAGAATGTGCAACACCAAGAGCTAGCCCTTAGGTAAACTCAGAACTGGGCCATAGGATATGTCAGTGTCAGGTCACTGATTGCAACAAATGTATCTCACAGTGGAGAATATTGATAATAGTGGACTATGCACATGTGGAGGCAGGGGGCATACAGGAACTCTCAATTTTGCTATGAACCTAAACTAAAAACTATTTTTTAATGAAAGAGAGAGAAAAAAATTAAAAACGCCTAATTCCGAGTTCCATGGAATACTACTGGTCACTTCATCTGTTTAGTCCTCGATTTTCTCAGCTACAAATGAGTGCAGTCAAGGCAGTTACTATCTGGAGGTTTCTGTGAGGTTAAAGAAGTCATGCTGGTAAGCAGTTTAGCAGAGTACCTGTCATGTGAGTGTTTTACACCTCTTGTTGCTGTTGTTCATGTCATTAGCTGAATCTATGATATAACTTGAGACATTTTTATTTGTAAAGAAAGCTGGGTAGTGAGGTGCCTGGGGGCCTAAGCAGAGATGGCAAAACTAACCAGTGTGGGTCACCCTGAGAACCCGAGAGCCTGGCAGTGCAGGAACGAACACGGCAGGCTCTGGGTCCGCCAGTGAAGGAGACAGAACCGGAGGCTGTTGGTGGTGCACAGAAGGGGCTGAGTGTAATTTATGCCTGGGAAGAGATGGCACCACACAGAGTAACACAACAGGCAGCCTTCCCCACTCAGTGTCTGCATATCTATGATTTTTTAATGCATGGACAATTCACCACTCCCTTTAAACTCTTCCCTATGTTTCCATGCTGTTTTATTACCATTCAATTCCTCTCTGGCTTCCTACTCCCCAAAATAAGTACTCCCTGGAACTCACAATTTGTTCCTTCACTTCTCCAGGCCAAAGCCAAAAATCCAATATGCCATCTTTTAATGAGGGCACTATTGGCATCTGGACAGTTCCTTATGGCATTGCAGGAAGTCAGCATCACCGGGCTGTGAGCACTGTTTGTGACCCTCACTCTCCATCATGATAATATAAAAACGAGGAACATGTGCAAAAGGTTGCTTTGGCGAGCAGTACTCCTCCCAGTGAGGAACCACTGGGCTTAATCGAGAAGGTTCCACAAGCCATGCTCGGCAGTTTAGCCTGTTTTTGCATTAGAAGCAGAAGAAAGACTGTTAGCCTCAAATTGTTTTAGAAACACACACACACACACACACACACAGTCCACCAGGGCAGTGTGAGGAGACTGGGGGCTGGGAGGCCAGAGAGAGAGGGCTGTAGTGATGAGTTGAGAATGACACCTGCTCCAAGAGCAATGTCAGACCGCTTGATGTGCAGTGCTCACAGCCAATGGGAGGGCAGCTGTGGCCAGAAGAAGAGTCTGGGCTGCACGGTTTTGGGCTTGTGAATTGGAAGGGCTTGTGTATGGAGCTCGAGGGAGCTGGGGCTGAGATTATAGATATGCAGTCACTTGCCCAGAGTGGGAGGTTAAATCACTGGGAACTGGGGGAGCAGGCAGAGATGAGAGGCCAGGGGAGGAATCCTAAGAAGCAGTGACTGGAATCAAGGCTGGAGGAATCTTCCACAGATTGGTAAGGAAGGAACTGCGAATTTAGTGTAAGAAAAAGTCAGGAGAGAATCATGTCAAGGCAGCCAAGGAGAGAAAAGCTCAGAGGACTGAAATGTGGCACGTGCCAGGCAAGATCAGTGCTTTTCTCAACCTCTGCACTCCTGACATTTGAGGTTGGGTAATTCCCAGTGGTAGGAGCCATCCAGAGTGCTCTACAATGTGTGGCAGCACTGCTGCCCTCAACCCTGTAGCTGCCCACAGCACCACCTCCCTCAACTGATAACCAAAATGTGTTCAGTGTTGCCAAAAACTCCGTGTTGAGAAACCATCCCTGGTTGAAAACCAGTGGGTAGGAAGCTTCAGCTTGCAAGGTCCTCACCAGAATGAGCAATGATGGAGAGAAGACTGAATGACAAGAAGGACAGATAAGCTTGGTGCATACAGACAACTAGCCAGGAAACTTTGCAGAAATAGAACTGCAGAGGGAAGGAAGGAGAAGGGGGCAGGGACAGAAAACAGCAAAGGCTGAGTCTAACCATGTCCCTGAACTGGGAGCATGAAGGCCAGAATCTCAGGAGAGCCTGAAGCACAAGACAAGGAACGAACGATGGGATTCCACTACTCAAGAAACAATCTCGTCTCTTCCTGCTGAATGACTAATATGATGTTCCACCAACTGCATCAGCACAGGTAGAGGGAATCATACAGTCTGAGCAAACGTCAGCTACCACTATCACATGTTACCAGTCCCCTTTCTAGAAGTGTGGGGTTCCAGGGCCTCAGCAACATGGCACTAAACCAACTCCATGGGCCTCACTATGGCTTCCCTATTTATCCCCTGGGAATCCACAAGCCACTCTCTTTGTCCGAGCCCCATTCAGCCTAGGATAGCAATTCACAGAACTGACTCCGCCATCAGACTGTCTGTGTACCTTTACCAGTACCATTTATAGGCTATGTGCCCTTGGACAAGGAACTTCTCGTATCATCACAACAGAACGTACCCTACATAGTTGTTCTAAGGATGGGAACACACACACGCACACATGCTCACAACAGAACCTGGTTACTGGGTACCCACCCCCCTTCCTCCTACTTAAGACCGACTGCAGACACCAATCTCCCCTTGCATCCCCAGCAGCTGGCTTCTTCACTGTCGTCCCCACCACGTGATAACTCAGGTGAAGATGCCTCTTATTCACCTTTGGGTTCTGGCACCACCAGGTCCAGGCCTTGGACAAACCTGGGCTGACAAACTTGCATTCAAGACACTGATAAAAACAGTGGAAGGAGGAGCAAGTTATAATCCTAGACAGAGAGAAAGACTTGATCCTATTGAAGCCCACTGAAAAGAAGCAGAAAAGAGCTTCTGTCACCTGGGCTGTGACCTTCAGTGTCCTTTAAAATGTTAATCAGCCAATTAAACAAGGTCCAATTGCTTTTATCTTCAATCCTTCACAAGACTGAAAAAAATGTCTCTGAAATACAATCCCAGGTCTAATAAAATCAAAGAATGGCCTACCTATATCTTCATATTCATAATACTCAAAGTATAAACTCTGAGATTGACTTGACATTTCTTTAAAAAACATTCTTCACATTAAAGAAAGGCAGACTAAGAGGGAAAAATCTTATTTATATATTTTATTAAAAGCAGAAAATATATCATTTAATCGACAGAGGACTTCCTATATACCTTATCTTTGGAGCCAGGAGGATTGGTAAATTCTGCTAGATGTGTTAATGAAAGTATATGCACAGGAGCCGGCGCTGTGGTGCAGCGGGTTAAAGCCCTGGCCTGAAGAGCCAACATCCCATATGGTTGCCGGTTCTAGTCCCAGCTGCTCCTCTTCCAATTCAGCTTTCTGCTATGGCCTGGGAAAACAGCAGAAGATGAACCAAGTCCTTGGGTCCCTGCACCCACGTGGGAGTCCCAGAAGAAGCTCCTGGCTCCTAGCTTTGGACCGGCACAGCTCTGGCCGTTGCGGCTATCTGGGGAGTGAACCAATGGATGGAAGGCCTCTCTCTGTGTCTCTACCTCTCTCTGTAACTCTTTCAAATAAATAAAATAAATCTTAAAAGAAAGTATATGCATAGAACACACATATAGCACCAAAGCTCTGCCCACGCCCTATGTAGGATCACAGCTGTTCTCACCTGCCGCCTACCCTCCCAACTCTCTGCTTGTTTACGCGTCACTTTGATATGGCCTTGCGCCTAGGACTCAAAAACAAACACAGAGCCAAGAGCTTGTTTAATGTGGAGTAACGTGCCACAGACACCTCTCGCCGTAACACATCTCCAGCCCAAGAGTGAGGCTCAGAGGCAGGCAGATGAGGAGGACAAGAGTGAGATTTGAGATAGTGGGAGACTTCCTACAGTGCTCTCATGTCTCCCACAACCCCCAGGGAAGTCATTTCACTGCTCTCTATGTATACTCACAACATACCTCCCTCCCTAATTAACTTCCCTTTCCAGGGTCCACAATGGGGCCAGTTCTGCTACCGACTCAATGTTTCACACTGAGCAGTTACCTCACCGGTAAAGTGGGCTAGTACTTCTTGCCCCACTCGCCTCACATGTGGATAGAAATACTTTATGCACTGTGAAGTTCCATAAAAATGCATATTCTTCTAAGCGACCCTATCATACCTTCATACCTATGTATTTGGCTCCCCAACTAAATGCAACCTGCTCCAATATATTTCCTGCTTCGTCTCATCTTTTGGACACACCATATGATAAGTGTTCAGAATTTAAGTAAATAAATGAATAATGCCATGTCTCTTTCAATTTCTTAACTATTATAATTAATCAAAATGCATGCCATGTCTCTTTCAATTTCCTATGTATCATAACTAATCAAAATGCATAGGAAAAGATTTTGTAACTAAGAAAAAATACCAACAGCATTCAAAATAAGGCTATTAACAAATAAGTTGTATTAAAGAAACAGCCAAAGGCTGCCTGAGGCTCTAAGTTTACAAAATGTGTGATTCTTAAAGAACAGTGATCCCACCAAGGTATAAACAGGGCATAGGTTGTTCTGATACAACTACACCTTTAATGAGACAGAAGGGAAAGGGGAATCCCACAATCAGAGAGGGCTTGCTGCACCAACGCCCCATACTGTAAACCATGACAACCTAACAAGCCATCGGAAACAGGCTCTCTTACACACAGTCAGCATGGCTTAAAAAAGTATATGCATAAATCCTCCAATGCTTGTTTTCACAGGTTCATTACCCCGCATTCAGGAGCCAGCTTCTATTTGTGCTCAAGTTAAATAAACAGAGTTCACGTCATTCTTCACAAAAATCTCCAGGAGTCCAAGACTGGACAAGGTAACCGACCAGGCCCATGTCACCTGATGGTCTGTCTCCCTGGCCTTCTAACCCTGCATTCCTGCCCCTTCACCTAAGACTACAGGAGGGTCTGATGTGCGTCATTTACACAGGCAACCCAAACACCTCAACAAACTCACTCTCACCAGCCAGGAGCCCCACAGACCAGGCACTGCTATTTTCAGCTCCCTGTGAACCTGAGATCAAGTTTCGCTCCTCTTTCCACAGCTGCAAGCATCACAAGCAGGTGCAGAGCCGGGCAGGCAAGGGTCAGGAAAGCTTCTGAAGTCATCCCCGGCTCTCCAGGAAAGCAGGGACTGGGCCACAGCCATTCTTGTAAACCCACACCTGAGAAAGTCCTATTAGGTACTTAACAAATGCTTTGCTGAAGGGAAAAATGAGATACCACCCATGTGGAGGACTGTGGTGGCACTGATGGAAGATGAACAGGAGAGGGAGAAGCAGCCCAGCTGAGGGGCGGCAGCTGGGAAGCCTTCTACACTCAGTCCAGGCTTCCTCGTCAGGGCACAGCCTGGCCCTCACCCTCACTTCCTCATCATCAGTGCTACCCACCTTCTGCACCCAGGCCCCAAATGCAAACTTAGGGCTTCTGAACAACTACTTAACTACATTGCTGACTTTTTTTCCTTGCAGTCATTCCCCTCATGTGGGAACACGTCCCCTGATTGGCAGACAGCACATCCCTCTCAAGGCAAGCAGCATCAGACCAAGGGGATGAAGACACCTAACCTGGAGCCAGTCTGTCTGAATGTGACTCTCAGCTCTGTGCCCCATTACTTGACATAAGTGTGGCAAATCACAGAGTCACCCCATGCCTGGTTTTCTCCCTGTGAAATGGTGCAAATAACAGTACTGATCTCAAAGGGCTGCTATAAGGAATAAAGGAGTCATTAAGGCAATCTGATCAGCACCTGGGCACCTAAGAATCATTTAAATAAACTATATAAAAATATATTTTAATATATAGCATAAACTATAATGGCAACTTTTTTATAAAGCTTTTATTTAATAAATACAAATTTCATAGATACAGATTTTGGAATATAGTGGTTCTTCCCTCCATACCCTCCCACCCCCACTCCCATCCCACCTCCTACTCACTACTCCCTCTCCCACCCCATTCTTCATTAAGATTCATTTTTAATTATCTTTATGTACAGAAGATCAACTCTATACTAAGTAAAGATTTTAACAGTTTGCACCACAGACACACAAAGTATAAAGTACTGTTTGAGTTTTACCATTAATTCTCATAGTACAACTCATTAAGGACAGAGGTCCTACATGGGGAACAAGTGTACAGTGACTCCTGTTGTTGATTTAACAATTGACACTCTTATTTATGATGTCAGTGATTAACCAAGGCTCTTGTCATGAGCTGCCAAGGCTATGGAAGCCTTTTGAGTCCACAAACTCCGACATTATTTATACAGGGCCATAATCAAAGTGGAAGTTCTCTCCTCCCTTCAGAGAAAGGTACCTCCTTTTTTGAATGGCCACTTCTTTAAATCAGGATCTCACTCACAGAGATCTTTCATGTAGGTCATTTTTTGCCACCATGTCTTGGCTTTCCATACCTAAAATGCTCTCATGGGCTTTTTAGCCAGATTTGAATGCCTTACGGGCTGATTCTGAGGCCAGAGTGCTGTTTAGGACATCTGCCATTCTATGAGTCTGCTGTAGTGCAATTTACATGCTAAATGGAAATCACATATATAAAATATGATTAAGGAATGTTGATTATGACCAAATTTTGAAAATTTGTGCTGACAGGAGGGCATTGGCAAGGATAATCAGAATCAGGCTTATTTTTTTAGCAAGGAGAATGCTTTAAAATTGGAATATAGTACTAAAGAATGACATGAGGCCCCTTCTGGAGTCTTTATAAGTGGTTTTTGCTTCTAGGGATTTAATACCATGGCTTTTAATAATAGTTGCTATTAGGCCACATAGAATCATGAATACCTAAACTACTGGCACTCACTTTCCAAAGCCAACCAAAGAAGGGTGCCTCCTTGGCCTCAAACCCAATGCAGTGAGTTTACCCATCTGCAGTGACACATAATTTTGAAGCTTGCCAGTCTAGCAGGTTTACTCCACCTCTGTTTCAGACAATGAAGCCAAAGTGTATGATGAGGACATAGAGAAAAACATAGACAAGTGAGTACAGGCTGAGCATTCATCTAAAAATCTGAAATCCCAAATACTTCAAGATCTGAGACTTTCTGAGCACTGACACGATGCCACAAATGGAATACTTCACATCTGACAACATGTGATGATGAACTGCAGTCAAAAGAGAGATGCATTAAAAATATTGTATAAAATTACCTGCAGTCTACATGTGTAAGGTACATAGGAAACAAATGAATTGCATATTTAGATTAGAGTCACTTCTGCCCTAAGCATTTCAGCTAAAGGATACTCTACCTGTATTTAGAAAGAAGAAACACTGCTAATAATCTGTACAGGTGAGGTGACACCAACGTTATCAGTTCCCCCTAAACATCAATACAGTATCTGACAATCCTGAATTTTTTATATTACAATTCAGTAAAAGTTAGTCACCTGAAAATATTACAGATTCAAGGTCAGATTTGTATATTTTTTTATCAGCACCTGTTGTTAAGTAAATTTAATGCCAATTTACTACATCTGACACACCGAAGTCCTCTAAGTCATCACAGCACAGAAGTCAGAAATGGATGTTTGTCACTGCAGTTGGGACACTGCTCTGGATGCCTGTATCCTGTATCAGGCTGTCTGGGTTCCAGTTCCAGCTCTATTCCAGTCTCAGTTCCTATTCCAACTTCCTGCTGATGCACACCCTGGGAGTAGTAGGTGATGGCTCAAATACTGGATCCATCCCTCCCACCCATATGGGGTCTCTGAAAATAATTTAATTCTGACCAGCTGCCAATCAATGCAAGGCAACTGTAGGAATGTTCTGAACACCTGCTATGTGACTAGAGTAGAGCTTAGTGAAGGGGATGTCAATGGGAAAAAATAAAGCATATTTTCTATTTCATAGTTTTTTGTTGAAAACCTTTAACATGGTGGCAATTCTGAATACCAGATTCCCTCTCCAAAATTTGTCCCTCATCCTGTTGTTTCTGTTGTTTGCTTAGTGACTTTCTTGGACTAAGTCTGTGAAGTCTGTATTTTTTGTCACAGTCAGTCATTGAAGTCTCTGTTCAGTTAGCTGAGTGGTCAGCTAACACCTGAACAGAGACTGTCTGAAGTGCCCTGACGGATTAATCCTCTCACCTCTGCAGAGGGTCTCCATGTGTACTGGGGTCCACTTCCTCAAGACCCAAGCAGTTGGCAGCTGTTTTAGCCATGGGCCAGCCTGAGATGAGAGTTAGAGTCTCCTTAGGTTTTTCCTGGGCACAATATACAAACATCTATTGGAGCTTCCAATGTTCCTTGCAGACATCTCTCTCTCAAGACTGTGTGTGTAAGCTTCCTGGATCACCTCTTGTTTGCTCACCTGGCATCACTGTCTCAGGCAGCTGCGAAGTTTAACAATTGCTGCTGGTTATTTTCAACACACACCTCAGA